TTTTGTTTTCTTGTATTTTATCGCTCTGCTGACCCTTGGGGTCCATTTTATTTTGGTATACCTTTTCTAGGTACGTTAGCCTGTGACCACGGAAATTGGCCGAGTCAAGTGATGGATTAGTACGGAGAGATTGAGACAGAAGGAGGTACTGGATAGAGAGACCGGGATGGTTTTTAATGTGAAGACAACAACAACAACAACAACATGAACCGCAGGAGGGGGTCCAACCCCCCCTCCTTTGTGACCCCGGTTGGCTCGTCTAGCTAGTAGAAGTGGAGGATAGGGGCCAGAGGGGCAGACGACAGAGTCCAATGATGGGAGAAAAACAACAACAACAAAACATTGCTGTTGCGCAGCACCGTGCAGAGAGCGACAGCATGGCTTCCAGCCGCTTCCCCGCAGCCACAGACCAGTGGGAGAAGACGTCCATGCCCGTGTGCTATCCAGAGAAGAACACTGGCAAGTGGCGGTTGTTCCTCAACTTCACAAAGCGGAAGGGAAACAAGGCGAAAAGACTCACTCCCGAACTTTTCCCAAGGGAACCAATGATACTGCTGAGGAGTGTGGGGAGTTAACGCCCGTGCCTTCCTTTGGCATGCTCTGCCGACGTGGCCCTAAGCACTTACGTACCAGGTGGACTAATTGGTTGCCTTCATCGGCGAACATCGCAGCTTTCCTCACTCTGGGAATCGCCTGTACTGCTTGCGAACCGGGACGGACATCGGCATTGCCCATGGCTTACCCCGTAAAACGCATGAATGCTACTGATTTTTGGACATTTGTACAACGGTGGCGGAGCTAGAACGTTGTGGCTCCGGAAGGTCTTTGCTCGAGGTTGGTTCAAGACGTTTCGTCTTGCGACTTTTAGGTTTTCCAGCTGCGCAGCAGCCCTTCCTCCGGTAAAAACTGTGAAGTGTGACCTTTGCAACGCTCTGTTTGTCGCATGTTCTACCAATTCCTTCCTCCCCGTTACTCTCAGTCCAAACATCAAACGCATTGTCACAAACGCGTATGTCACGTTGAAATTGCCCAATCCCTTGTCAAGCTCACCGATTTAAGGCGGCAAGCATGCCGCCACCCGCCCGCCCGCCCCCCGACCCCTATCAACGCCAAAATTGCAGACCTACATCTAAGTGACTCTCGACGAGGACGGGGGGTTGGCCGACGACGATGACGAGCTCCGGCAGCGAGGGTCTCATCGGGTTTATTGTATCTGCGATATCCCTGTGTTGCTTCGAGTGTTACATCTACAAAACATGTTGCGACGGTGCGTGCTGCTGCGAGTGTAGTGGTGAATCGGCAAGCCCGGTCGCCAGCTCGAGCGCGAGTATCTCAACGGCAAACAACGTCATTTTCGTGACACCATCGGCACCTGTGCAAGATGCCAGCATCGGCGCCAGTGCAACATGTGAGATCATTGGCGCTTGTACACCCCCCCCAGTAGGCTCGATTTACCGACGGCAAGTATTGCTAGTTCATGGTGTGGGCCTTTTCATTCACCATAGTTTGTTGCTTGATACGCGTACCAGCGTAGTTCTCGCGGGGGTGCCCGCCCGATAGAAATTCAACGGCCGACTTCTCGGCAGCCACGAGAGAGAGAGAATGGCATGTTGAGGCGAAGGCTTCGGAGGTCTTTGTTCTCACCACTTGGCGCCCCGCCAAGGAGCGTAGCCAGTGAGTTGGTGTTGGCACGCGACACTAAATGATGGGGCAAGGGATAGTGGGCGATCGGTGGATTGATATCAGCACCGGTAGGTACTCTTTCCGTTGTCGTGGGTTCAATATCCAATATTTGTGTTGCGCCATGTATGTCCGTACAGTAGTGGTGTGCGATAGTGGTTGGGTGATGGATTGAGAGAGATCGATTTCCTCTCTGATTTTTTTTTGCATGTAGCTTCGCGAAAACATGTATACCACATCGCCCATTTATTCGAACTTGATGCGGACTTCGGGGAGGAATAATGTGATGGGTAGATTGTAGACAATACTAGTCTATGTATTGTACAGAGCCGGTAGGCTTGTTCTGGGTTTGGCATAAAATGCGAGACACAAAGTCAGGAGCACATAGGTGTTCAAACTTTGTCTGATTGGGTTTGTTGAGCGGCATGAACACATTGAGTTCCACCTTTCCCATAATTCGCGACCGTTCATAAGGTTGGCGAGCGTCGGTTCGAAGGTATTTATCCAGCAGAAAGGCTCAACCTGTGAAGAGCTGGACTCGCGTTTGGGGGCGACGCGCTTGATTGTGCACATGTATGCACCTTTCCCCGAGTATTTGTGTCTATCATTCCTCCCGATTTGCACGCATGCGTACTTGATACGCCACCGTAGATGTGTCTGTGTACGACGGGGGTGAGCCAGGCTGGCGAGAATCTGGCGTGGAAAACCACCCGCGTATGGGGGTGGGGGGTAACCGTGTCTTGTTTGCCTTTCAATGCGGGACGGAGGGTACAGGTATTGCCGATGTCTTGATCATTTGCCCATTACATTTTGAAGGATGCATGGGCAATGGCGTGGCCGGTGCTACCCCGACTTTGGATACATACAGCAGCGCGGCCTACCTCTTACTCCGTATTCTCCTATTGCCTTGATTGGAAATCTTCGATAATGCGTTGTTAGAAAGGCTTACCCCATTAGACGACGCTGACTAGTCTAATGGTTTAACTTCATCTTACAATAGATATACGCTCAGCTTATTGGCACCCGGCAGGACCACTTGGGTTTATGGCTTATTTGAGAGCAGGGATCTCCGGGGACGGACCTCTCGCCAGACGCTGCCCGGAAAGAACTTAATGGTGCTTGGGAGAGTGAACAGCCGGGAATCGTGCGTTAAACTTTTATCATCAAACGTTAGACCATTAGTATTGTCAGCGCTGACTGTTAAGCTCGGTGGATATGTTGTATAGACTATCTAACAAGTACAACCAGAATCAAAACAACACATCCATCCTCAATCAAACGAAACACACAAGCATCGGCCATGCACTGCTCAAAACCTAACAACGCCACCAAACACCTCTTCAGCATTGCATGCCACTGCCTAGATGCCTGTCTCAAGCCATACAGACTCTTGCCTAGTTTTACAATCATTCCTGATAGAGCTCCACATCCCTGCGGCAAACGCATGTACACGTCTTCCTCCAACTCCGAACGCACAAAAGCTTGCTCAACATCGAAATGACACAAGTCGAGGTTCAACTCGCACGCCAAAGCAGCCAACATCCTAACACACGAAACAGAAACGGTAGGCGCGTACAACTCTCCAAAGTCAATTTACTCTCTGCATATCACCTCTCGCTACAAGTCCCGACTTAACCTTAGTGGGCCATCCAAACTCATTTGCCTTCCAATCGAATACCCACTTAGCGTTAATTGCGTTCTCCACTAGTTGCTACTTCGCCGGAGTAAAAGTCCCCGCTTCCAACAAGCCATAAAACTCCCTTTGCATAGAGTCGCTCCAAAGGTGCCGGTGCTCCGACGCCATGGCCTCTTTGTAGCTCTTGGGGACACGAAGGTCGCTGGCCTGGCAGTGAGGAAGGTCAGGGCGTTGCTCCGGCGGGCGCTGGTCTCGCAGCGTGGCGTCGATGTCTTCCCGGTTGGCAAGGAGCGTGGCAAATGCGAGTGGAAAGTCCGCTCCTCCAGCCCCCGGGTCCACAGCTGCGAGTGCTCCCGCCTGCCTCTCCGGCCTCCGCCCCCCCGAGCTCCCTGCGCTCCTCGTCCACCGCGCTCCGAGCCTCCAGCATCGACACCATAGTATTCTTGTCTAGCATCGAGATGAGTCCTGTGCTGTGCCTTGTGCCCAATCTCGTACGGCTTGGCAGCCGCGGGTCTGTCATACCCTCGGCCTCTGTACCCGGGCGGAGCTGCCGCATGGCGTGAGCCGTAAGCGGGGGCATCGCGGGGTCCGGCGGCGGCGGCGGCTGGTCTGGATCTGGGGTCGCCGACGGTGACAGCGAAGAGGCAGAGGACGGCTGGCCGGGAGCGGGGGTCACCGACGGTGACGGCGAAGTGGCAGAGGGCGGCTGTGAAGGCGTGGGAGCGGGCGGCGGCGTGGTCGCTGGCGGCGGCGTTGCGGCAGGGGGCGAAGAGGCAGCGGGAGCGGGAGCGGGCGACGGCGTGGGCGCTGGCGGTGGCGGTGTGGCGGTCGAAGGCGTCGGTGCTGGGCCAAAGTTGATCGAGACGACCGGCGGCGTGAACGGGGGGGGTGTCGGCGCAGCGGTGATACCAGCGGAACCCCCCTCGCCGGCTGGCGCCGACATCACCCACGAGACGTTGTTGGTATAGACGACGCAGCCGGTGGACGCCTTGAGGACCTTGACGGTGCCGCTCGGGTGGTTGTCGCCGCCGTTCAGGTAGTAGCAGAGGGTGGCCTGGTCGATCGAGCTTGGTGCGGCGATCCTCATGCATGAAGCCGGGCTGGAAGAACGGCAGCACGCGGAAAGGCCCCTGCTCGCCGGTGGTCATCTCGTGCGGCGAGCGCCGCCCGGGGTTGGCCTTGGTCGCCGACTGGTTGAGAGCGTCGGCGGCCCATTTCGCCGATTCCATCCAAAGATTATCACCGCGCTCGTCGAGGCCGGAGATGGAGGCGAAGTCGACGTTGAACACACGGCCAGCGCTGCGGCGAGCGGCCATGCCGGCCTTCATGATGCGCCAGATGGCGCTCTCGACGACGCCGTTGTACTGCGGAACGCCAGGAGGTGTGAACTCGACGCCGATGCCGTTGTCGTCGCAGAAGCGCCGGAAGTCGCCGCGGGTCCACCTGGTGCTGTTATCGACGCGGAAACACTCGATGCGCCCGAGGTCGTACCGCCCCACGTCCGCCAGCAGCCTTTTCGTTGCCGCCAGCGCGTCGGACTTCCGCCGGAGACCGTAGACCTTGTTCCACCGCGAGGCGCTGTCCACGGCGACGAACAGGTAGAGGTTGCCGCCCAGGGAAGGCACCAGCGGTCCACACAGGTCCAGGTGAACACGCCCGAGAGGCTTGGACGCCCTCGCTCCCGGCCCCCGCGGCACCGACGCTCGCCTGCCCTTCGCCTTCATGCAGTTCGTGCACGGTTCCAGCTTGCCGGTGAGCACGATGCCTCTCTGCTGGGCAGTTTCTCTCAAAAGAGGCTAANGGTCCACACAGGTCCAGGTGAACACGCCCCAGTGGCTCGGACGCCCGCGCTCCCGGCCCCCTCGGCACCGACCCTCGCTTGCCCTTTGCCTTCATGCAGTCCGTGCACGGTTCCAGCTTGCCGGTGAGCACGATGCCTCTCTGCTGGGCAGTTTCTCTCAAAAGAGGCTAACAAGCATGGGCAAGGGAGCGGTGGAAGCGGTTGATGTCAACGGACTTTTCAGTCGAACCAAGAGCAAACGGGGACGCATCAGGGCCAAGCGCGGGTCAAAATCAGCACCCCCATCAATGCTATCCAAAACACCAGCCACATTCGCAGCGTCACTCTCTGGGATAAATACGGGGAAAAAATCTTGATATGGGGTGTCATCATAGCCATCCATGACCTGCTCGTCGGTGAGCACACTCGTATCTCCAAGATCCATACGCGGGAAGGTACCCACACACACAAACTCGGACGTTAAAGAAGGTACTACGTCGGCAGAGCCAGCGGGCGGGACGCTCTCACTCGCAGGTACTACACTGGTGGGGCCAGTGGGCGGGACGCTCTCACTCGAAGGTACTACGGTAGTAGCGCCAGCGGGAGGAACACGCAGCACGGACACCAATGATTCCGCGGAGCCCCCTTTTTGGGAACGGGATGTATTTTTTTCGAAAGGCTTACCCCATTAGACTACTAAGTCAGCGCTGACTAGTCTAATGGTTTAACTTTATCTTACATGCGTGTAGTCCATTGATTTGTAGCGTTGTGGCGATTTTTTCGTGTCTCTTTGTCATTGACGTTTTTGATGTGCGTTCACTTTCGGCCGGTCACGAGTAAGTCGTTTGCATCATTTGGGCCGGTGCGAGAGCTTTGAACCTACCGAGCAGATTCCGGCACGGGCTTTACACGTGAAGGCTACTACGGCGAAAACGATATGATCACAACAGCAACGAGCTCAACAGTTTTTTTCACAGTGAGGAATGAACCCCGTCCGTCAGGTACAGACGTAAAGAAGACCGTTATCTCTCGGTGGAAGGCCAAAATAGAAATGGGCGTGGAAACCGGGAGAGTAGGGTGGACATGCGCGGGCGAGAGTGGGTAAACAGAGCCCCTGCACACATTGATACATGACATGAGTGGCAATGTGCGACGGTCGCGAGGGAGACCGGGAAGGAAGCCGTGCCCTGGACCAAGCCAGGCCTAGATATTCGTGGACTGGACCTCAGAACACGCGCCGCGAAGAAGTAGTGCACACGGGAAACAAAACGAACAAAAACGTCCACCACGTAAAATAATGGAAATGAGCGCTGGTTTTCTCACCCGCTCGGGCGCGAGACGAAAGGACAAAAAAAAGGCAGACAGCGCTCACAACAAGTGCGTGGCAATGCAGCGACCTGAAGAGGACTAACGCAGAACCGATTCTCACATACATTATTGACATGCGCAAAACGTGAAACGGTCAGGAGGGACGCCAAGCCATCAAGCAGCAGGACCTCGAGCGGGCTTCATCTAAGTACCATAGATAATGGCGGGGGGATCGTGAACATTTTCACACACAGGATAGATAGCCGGCCTATCGCGTGAGCGAGTGAAACTGATCTTGCACCGCTGTGTAAGCGCAAGAGATTAACAATAATCTGTTCTGAGCCAGCCCATCGTTCCCACCCGAAACGCAAGGCGAAAAAAAAAAAAGCAGGTGCACAATCTTAAAAAAATCACCCAGCAATATATCACACTCGCGCGCATGATGATTCGATCCTTCCTTCGAAGCCCTAAAAACAGCCAATGCTTGGATAGCTTCAATCACCCGCACGTGTGTATATAGATTAAATGAAAGCCAGGAAAAAAATAGCTCCCACGCGGAGTTGAACCACGGACCTTGCGCTTACTAAGCGCACGCTCTAACCAACTGAGCTATGAGAGCTTTGCCCTTTCATGGCGTATGTGAGCCGTTGACATGACTTCTCAATATATTTTACATTCGTCATAGTCTAGTTGTTGTTGTTGTTGTTGTTGTTTTTGTTGTTGTTGTTGTTGTTGTTTCTCACATTAGCTCTATAGTCCACAAAAAATGGGGAGCCCGCGGTCTCAAAACCCG